TCCTTGGCGTCGACCGAATAAAGTTCTGCCCAACCGTACACAACTACCGGCGATACAGGAGCGACATGATTTACAGTATCTTTAGGGCCCACCCCAAAGACACGCCAAGGACGCAACCCCCGTTTCGACGAGGCGACGGGACAATTCTGCCCACACTCCGACAAAAGAACGCACGGAGTGGTGATGTCTATCTATGTAGAAACCGTGCTCGCGATTCACTGGATATTAAAATAGGACAGCGGGCTACTTCAGACCGCGGTCGGTGTCAATTTCGAGCACCACACGCACAAACAAAACAGATCTACGCTGTTGATTATCTACGGGGGCTGTTCCTGGGAATTCAAGAGCAACCGTTCACTCTAGTTCATCACGCTAACGCACCGTGCCACCCGAGTACCCACCACCATTGCTCAAGTTTTCGCCCAGATAATCAGCACAATACAACGAGTCGAGGCCGAAAGAAAAATAACGCAGAGAACACCCCCCCATACACTTGCCCCTCGTGCGTCCACGACATAAGAATACGTCTTTAATTTATCTCCGTAAAAGAAACGATGGGCTATATGACGGAGAAGCCATCCAAACAGAGGCGAGCGCGCGCTGGAGGCGTGAACACTATTTACTGGAACAATGAGACACCGCGACTGGCCCCGGGACATGGAATCACTACGGTCACTTGCGACAATCAACCTCTGACGACACGCAACACACAAAAAAGTGACGCGAAACACACATACACAGTTAAAAAATAAATCTCGGCAGGCCCAACGAGGAATGTAACGACTCGCGCCGTGCGACAAAAAGAACACCGCCAAAATTCCAGCAACAGGGACGAAAGGGAAAACAAAAAAAAAAGACACGGGAAGCCCCAGTCGGAGGAGACAGGGGGCTGTGGTATCCCTTGTTTTCTACAATGAGCGGCGAGAGAAAAACACTTGTGGCACGCAGTTCGCTGATTGGTATATAAAACCCCACGGCGGAATTTCAAAATGCGTGCCACAAATGTTTTTCTCTGGTGGTGGTGGTGGTGGTGTTCTCTATGCCAACAACGGCGCTGGCCCGTTCCTAGCCAACAGCGGAAGCTGTAGTGATGGGAGACAAAATCTGTTGTCCCCTTTTTGTCCCACATCTCACCAAACGACCCTGTTCCCACCGCCGCGTACCGACAAACTCCAGAACACCCCCCCCCCCTCAGTAATCGAGGGCTACTGCCTCGCAAAGAGCCGTCGGTGAAGGGACACAATCGACAGCCATCAAACCAAACCCTACCATCATCTCTCCCCCCAAACCAGGCGTATCCCCCAGGGGGCGTGCGCGGGAACGACCTCTCGCCAGCTACCACTGAACGAGCACCGCCTCCGCAATGAAATGACGTTCGTCAATTCGAGACAGACCACGAGAAATCACCTCTCCATCGCCATGGCCGCACGTTTGGCCCCGATTGTGAGATTTTCACACAATAAAAATAAAAAAAAAATCCACCAAAACTGTGTGTCGTTGGACAGGCCCCCGAAACCGAACCAATTCGGCAAATCGATCGCCAATTCGGCAAATCGATCGCCAATTCGGCCCATCCATCACCAATTCGGCACATCGACCACCAGTTCGGCGCATCGATCGGCACATCGGTCGATCATCAATGCAAGGAAGCAATCATTCCATCACGTCTGGCCAGCGGAGGAAGGGTTTGTGAGGTAGTGGTACATCTGGTCCTGCAGGTTGATGCGCTGTTTCGACGAAATCTCCGTGCCCTCCAGCCGGAGCGTCATCGTGATGAAGTAGCTGTGCTTCTCGTTGGCCTCGAAAACAAGCTCCCCGGTCACCACCTGCCACATACAGCAATCGTTCGGGAAAGGTACACAGGTACAAGGGCGGGGGTGGGTGGGGGTTGGGGTTGCTATCTGTGCGGAGGCGCTGCTTCTTTGGTTGCCTCGGAAAAATCATGTCTCCTGGCTTTCTGCCTGCCAAAAACCGTCGGGGAGAAAGCGGGGGCAGGGGGTATACATCAAGCCTGAGCCCTCGGCAGTCACGATTAGTGGTAGGTTCTTATCCAGGCTACATCGTAAATGGGTGAGAAATATTTCAGTTTCGATCTTGGTTGGAGCCTGGCTTTGTTAGCTGACTGCCAAGTTCTTCAATGGTGGCAGGTTCGCAACTCTTTTTCCTTTATCGGCATGCCTTCCCCAGGAAAAACGAGTCCTCCGGTCGCCTTTGCCGGGCGGGTCACGACAGGGACGGGCGGAAATTAATGAACACTGCACGTCTTCTTGCTGGCCTTGAGCTCTTCGGTTATCGACCCAAAAAACAATGACAGGGGTCTGCTGTTTGTTGCTCGCGGAAGTGTGGTATTGTAGAAACGCAGGTAGGTAGGTCCTACAACTGCATCTGACGGAGAGGAGAGAAAGGCCCAGGGCGCTGCTTGACTGCTCAAAATTTCGACTACAAGACCGAGCACTGTATGTTGTTTTTTCCACCTGTGTCCGTCGGTGGCGACGGCACACCCCCCTCCGCCCCCCCCCCCCCCAATACTATCCCTGCCACACACGAAGAAAACTGAAATAACCCGGGTGGGGTTAACAACGAAAGGGGTTTCCAACATGAAGCGGCCCTGGGACCCATGAGTCCGCCGGGCCCCCCGAACCCTGGACAGCGTGACCACCCACTCCCTGCCCCGGAAAGGCAAATCCAAACAACAACCCAACCCCTGGCACAACCACCTCTTTTTCACCGAAAACCCGTCAAAACCTGCGTGTGTTTTGAGGGGGGGGGGGCCCCAATGAAGGGCCCCAAGGGGGGGGGGGACCCCTTTAAAACCCTGCCCCGGAAAAAAAACCCCCCTCCCCACAATGGCCGGACAAAACCACATCCAAAAACGGGGGGGGGGGGGGGGCCCCCTTAAAAACCCTCCCCAATTCTTTAAACCTTAAAACCCCCCTCCCCCCCAAATCCGGGGGGAAAG